TGGAAAAATACAAACTATATCTGTGGTCCGATTCTGAAATCGTACTAGCCTGGTTAGAAAAACCACCACATGCATGGAAGACGTATATTTCCAATCGAACGTCTCAAATCCTTGACCTAGTAGGATCAGCCACTTGGCGACATGTAGCCAGTGCTGACAATCCTGCTGATCTAGGTACAAGAGGATGCAAACCCCTGCATCTTGCCACCACCACCCTCTGGTGGAATGGCCCCCGATGGTTAACAGAATCTCCCGATTCTTGGCCACAATCGCCCATGCGCAATATAATTGCACCAGAAAGCCGAAAAATCGACTCTTTTAACACAACAGTGGATGATACTGACATCCTCGAACGATTTTCATCGTTCCCACGAGCCCTCAGAGTAATCGCTTATATGCTCAAGTTCATAGAGCGACTCAAAATTAAACTTAAGGGAGTAACTTCATTATATTCCCAATGCGACACAGTGACGCACCTAGACTTACAAAAAGCAAAGGTCGCTCTTATCGCATATACTCAAGCGCGCCACTTCAGCCGTCATATATCACTTTTGAAAGAATCAAAACCTATTGACAAGAGAAGTCACCTCTTATTTCTTAACCCATTCCTCGACACGAAAGGTCTTCTTTCTCTTTCTTTGGTGGTTTATGGGAATCAGCTGTAAAAAGCTTCAAATCTCACTTTAAAAAAGTAGCTGGAAATTACAAATTCAATTACGAAGAATTCACGACATTATTAATTCGAATTCAAACCGTTCTCAATTCACGGCCTCTCACTCTTACAATCCTTTCGCAAGATCCCTTTGATTTCACAGCCTTAACTCCAGGGCACTTTCTCAAAGTAACACCCATTCTGGCCATACCTGAGCCAGGCGTGGAGTCGCTATCCTTATTAAATCGCTGGGAAAGAATTAAAATCTTCATCACGTTTTCAGCCGCCGATGGAAAGAAGAATGCAAAAAGGATCTCCATAAACGATGCCGTTGGAAGACTTCTGAACCAAAACTTGGAGATTGCGTCATCATCCATGATGATTGTCTACCTCCTACCGTATGGCGGCTTGGGCGCATAGAAAAGCTGCATCACGGCTCCGACGGTCACATACGAGTGGTTGATCTTCGTACACAAAGCGGAATGCTAACCAGACCGCTCGTGAAGCTTTGCTTTCTCCCAACCGCCGATAATAGCGACACAGCAAATCTCAAACAATCAACCGATACTACCGCAATACAATAAAATAATCAAATCAAGAAGACAAAAACAGAAAAACTCGTTAATAACCGTTAAAAATAAAAATAACTAATAAAAAAATGGTAGATCAATACGATGACCCATTCATGCCAGATAGCGTGGCACGATCATCCATATCCTTTATATGACAAATCTGCATAATAAAACAACTCTTTCATACAGATTAACATGGATGTGGATACGCCAACTACTCTAACGCCAACTGTGCGGTCGGGTACCAACGTGCCACGCACGGGGCCTACCCCAACGCCCCGATCTGCAGCTGCAACTGCCCCTGCAAGCGCACCTGCAACGACACCGATGTCAGCACCAGTTCCTCGCGGTGGCACGCGACCTTCACCGACGCTATCATCGCCGCCTTCAGAGGCACATCATGTACGATGTCTCATATGTCGGCGCTCACATCGCCTGCAACATTGTGGGATTTTTAGAAGTACGCGACCGTTGCAACGACAGCAAGTTGCCTAGGCACACGGGCACTGTCTAAACTGCCTATCACACACGCGTGGGACACAAGAGTGTGTTTCCACGGGTCTGTGCCAAATTTGCAGCCGCCCACATCACACGCTACTTCATCGCACCTCGAGGCGCGACGTCGGTCGGCCACCTACCCTTCGAAGTCGCGCAACAGGACCTCAACCCTCAACTCGTGCGGTACACCCACGGAATGTAACACCACGGCGTCGACAGCCTAGAAAGCAAAAACTTCGTTCCACGGGTCTGAGCATCGTTGTGGCAACGGTACAACAGCTGCAGCGACTACTAGGGTAATCATTTGCCTAGGATGGGCGGGATGGCTAAATGACCACTCAATCCCCCCTCACCATAAGACACTGTCATACCACACCAATTTACATCCACATCACCACACCTACTTACCATACATTCCACACCTACATACCATACATTCCACATTACTACACCATGCACCAACACGCACACAAATACAACTTAACCACGATCACACCACCATGAAGACATCAATATATTATATAAGGGACTAGAAGAAGGATTCCGCCCGCTTTTTAGCATTTCGATTCGGTTACGACCACATCGCTTTATTTCGAACACCCGCCTCTGCACTTCGCTTTACGAACGGTGAGTGATATTGAAATTAATTTACTACTTAAGTAAATACGTATGATCATACGCAGGATAATTGCGCTAATAAATTGGTAAAAATTTTAATTATTTAAAAATTTTTCTGTAGTTATTGGCATATCATTACAAATACTATTTAAAAGAATGAAACGGATGGAGAAAAGCAGATGAACTTAACAGAAGACAGAGAAGAAAATGATGATATAAATAATTTTTCTGTAGTTATTGGCATATCATTACAAATACTATTTAAAAGAATGAAACGGATGGAGAAAAGCAGATTAACTTAACAGAAGACAGAGAAGAAAATGATGATATAAATATAATTTTTATTGATAAAGAAATAGTGCATTCGCAGATAAGAATTTTTCCAAAATATTGAATATGTCAGCCGATCGCTGTCGCAGCTGCATTATCATCCTGAAAGTTTTTACTTTTTAGTGAATGTATGCATTTCTTTTAAATACTACTATGGCATTCGGTACTGATTTAGATACATTTTTCCTCTTTTTCTTTTACATTAGATTACATACATACGTACATATGTACATAATATGGTATATGTATGCACAAAACAATAAGGGGTCGTTCAAGTAATGCGTAACGCTTCTCAGGGAGCAGGGGTTTTGCATTTGGTTCCGTAACACAGAACACAGAAATTCAAAATAATAACGAATGCTGTAAAGATGAGATGAAAGATGCACAGCCGGAATTATTGGTGAAAACTATTGATGAATCGCAGCAAAAATTTCTACAAATCACGAGAAATCTGCTCAAGAGGAAACACCGAAAGAAATCGAAATCTTTAAAGACAAAAGTAGACAATCACAAACTGGAGGTATTGAAATTTCAAATAAATCATCACAATCGTATTAGAAACATGTTCGTAAATACCAGTATTGTTTGCAAATTTCCAAATGCGACGAAGATTCATGCAGTAAATTTAATAGATATATTCTTGCCCTCTTCTGGCCATTTGCAACCAACCGTATTCGGATTTGAAATTCCAGAAGTTGCTGAGATTACAGCAGTCCAATTTGTTCCATTGTTCATTTGTCTTTCGATGAAGTTGGAATAAAACATCGAAAATTTAACTGACGCATTACAGAAATAATCTGAGCCAGTAGCATTTTTTTCGTAATGTGAAAATACATATTTCTATTTTAATCGATCCAGTTTGAAAAAGACAGTGGGACAACTTTAGAAAGGAAACATTATGACACTGCGTTCCAAAAGGTTATATTTGCGAAGGAAAAGAAAATGTGAACAATTAATTCGCTTCTTGTGAGAATGTAGTATGTAATTAAAAACACATCACATATATGATTAAAAAATCTACCGCTCTTAAAGTATTAGTCTCAGTAACATAGAATTTATTAAATATAATGTAATATACTATATTATAAAGAGTTTTCCAATAAGATTAAAAAATACACATTAATTGTTGATGAAATTCAAATGTTTTTTATTAATTGTGAAGTGCAATCGATACAATTAAGTTCTGAATATAACATCATAACGAATTCGTTGAACCCAATTTTAGAGTACTTTTTCAACTAATTTAAGTCCTATGTCACGAATAGAATATTCCATATTGACTTCTAAAGTTTAAAGAGCCAGACTCTCTTTTATTTATTGCTAAATACCACTGACTTAAAATAACCCCACAAGAAGTAGTCTAATGGTGTTAAATCACAACTTCTTGGAGGCCATTTAATGTCACAATTTCTTGAAATTATCGAATCTCCAAACCTTTCTTGCAACAATTCGGTTGTTGCACGTGTTGTGTGGCACGTCCATAAAAAGTTGGTTGTCATCGATTACTTCATTTCGAAAGAAGTGCGGACCGTTGATTCCACCAGACCAAAACCCATACCAAACTGTCAATTTAGGTGTATGTAATGGTTGCTCATAAAAAATTTGTGGATTTTCTTCGCTCCAGAATTGATAGTTTAGTTTATTTACTGCACCAATCAGATGAAAGTGAGCTTCATTAGAGAAAATGATTTTCTTAAAAAAATCGTTATCGTTTTCAAGTTGTTCCAAGGCAAATGGAATGTAATATAAATATGGATGTAAGCCCAAGTCCTCAAAATCCGCCAGGTTGTGGTTTAAGACAGTCCCAATCCTTGAGAACGTCTTGGTATCGACAAATTGTGGTCTTCAGAAATACTTGCCTGAACGACAGCAATATTTTTATTACTTCGCACGAAAAGTTGCAATTGGAGAACGATTATTTTTATAATAAAAAGCATAATGTGGTTTAGCTCTGAATATGAAATTGGTCTAGACCGCGGTCTAAGCCCTTTATTGCCACTATAATGATTTCCGATTCAATGGTTGATTTCTTCATCATATACAGAAGACATCATCTTTGATTGAGTTTATATCACATACATCTCATTTGAGTTAACAAGGTTCATTTTAATACTAATGTCTCGGATATAAAGCAAAATATAATAATGAGACTAAGTGAGTCGGTGACCTATAATAATTAAGTAAGTGGTGTAAATAAAAAGATATAAAACGTGTTTGTAATCCTTTCGCCATTTCCTCGAAATATGAATGATAAATTCTTTCGCAACGTTCTTATACTGTTGCAACATTTGCTATGTACAAAGTATACGTTATATGTTCATCTAAAGATCGTTTGTATCACCTAAAACTATTCCAGATACGTATATGTCAAATTATAATTATACGACTTAACAAGACGAGTTGAAATCCGGATGACCATCTGTCCGTCCGCAAGTCCGTCTGTCTGTGCAAGCTGTAGCTTTAGTAAAAACTGCGAAGGAATCGCATTAAGGCGGGAAACCTGTGCTTTGAAAATTTTCAAAAAGTGGACGTGGCCCCGTCTCCTAATAGCTTTAATTTGCATATCTCCCAAACCATTCTTGCTATAGTTATCACCCAAATGTGCACAACACAAATTTTTTCGACATTACTTACGACAATGTGAAAATAAGTGAAATTGGATAACCTCGTTCACTCTCCATAAAAAAGTTTAGTTAAAAACTACTAAGTTTTACACCCGGGATGGTGAAAAAAGGTTTTATAGGAGCCGGAGTCAAAATTGGACGATGGACGTGAAACCGATGTGAAATCATATATCGCCAGACCTACTAGACCAATTTCAACCAAATTCGGTACATAATATTATTCTAACATTCCTATGTCACAGTACGAAAATAGGCGAAATCAGACTACAGCCACGCCTAATTAGCATATAACACAACTTTAAATTCCATCTGATTTCACTTGCAGTATACATATCAATCACCAATTATATCGAGATAAAACTTTGCACAAATGGTGCCGTAAAGGTATGCCATCTTGCGCCTAAGCATTGCCAAAATCGGACCAAAACTGTTCAAGCCCTCAGACATCAAATATAGGGACACCAGTGCCTATGGCTGACTTTTTGTTGAAAATATTGCTCTGTTTGTGAGATATATTATTGAAATTCGGGGAGAATATTTTTATGATAATGATTGTATCCCCCCATAAATCTAATATAAAGGTTTTCGAACTTTCTGTTGACTTTATACCACATATATCGGCCAATATGAGAGTTATCTTAAATTTTAAAAGCTTATTTTTCTGATAACAGTGTATCTTTGTGACTAAAATGTTTAATCGGGCTAAGGCAAGTCCTCGCTATATCTTACATAATGATCTTATATAGTAAAATGTGTGATAAATGTGCCATAACTCAGTACTAAACCAAGGAACATAACTGTAATTCGGCACAGGAGAGCACCTGTGAGTTAAAAATTTTGAAAAAATGGGCGTGGGCTGACCCTCTAATAGCTTTAATGTACAAATCTCCAAAACCACTAAAGCTACAAATACTAAATCCTTTAAGCAGTGTATTTGTTAAAAACTATGTATTAATAAACAAGTGAGGAACGGCTAAGTTCGGATGTAACCGAACATTTTATACTCTCGCAAAGTCAAATGGTATACTCGTTTGCGATTTCTTTGTGGATTGACTGATATTTTCGGTAGAAGGTCAACTATAGGCATTGCGGTCCACATATTTAGTACTTAGGGGTTTGAACAGTTTTGGTTCGATTTAGACAATTTTTGGCCGCAAGGTGGCATACTTTAATTGCATTATTCACGCAAAGTTTTACCCGGATATAATCATTGTTACCTGATTTGCATAGTGGAAAGTGAAAGAATCAGATGGAATTGAAAATGGTGTTACATGGGAAGTAAGCGTGGTTGTAGTCCGATTTCGCCCATTTTCACACTATGACATAGAAACATGAAAAGAACGTTATGCACCGAATTTGGTTGAAATCGGTTGAGCAGATCTCAAGATATGGGTTTTCACCTAAAAGTGGGCTGTGCCACGCCCACTGACTAATTTTGAACGCGGTTCCTATTAAGCCAATTTATACCATCTCAGAGATAAAATTTAATGTCTCTGGCGTGTTTAGTACTTGATTTATCGCGCTTTTAGTAGTTTTTAACAGTACCGTTATATGGGGAGTGGGCGGAGTTGCCACCCGATTTCAACTATTTTCACACCGTCAATAGAAGTGCTAAAAACATTTGCCCGCAGTGAATTTGGTTATTATAGCATTAGCGGTTTAGGAGATATGCACATTAAACCTATTAGAGGCGGGACCACGCCCACTTTTTAAAAAAAAGTTTTAACTACATATGCCCCTCCCTAATGTGATCCTGTGAACCAAATAACAGTCTTGTATCTTATTGCGGAGCTTAGTTATGGCAAGTTATTTGTTTTTGATTAATGGCGTTTTATGGGCGTGGCAGTGGTCCGATTACGCCCATCTGCAATACCAACTGTCTCACGGTACCAAGAAACATGTCTACCAAGTTTCATAAAGATATCTCAATTTTTACTCAAGTTAGAGCTTGCACGGACGGACAGACAGTCACCCGGATTTCAACTCGTCTCTTCATCCTGATCATTTATATATATATAACCCTATATCTAACTCGATTAGTTTTAGGTGATACAAACAACCGTTAGGTGAACAAAACTATTATACTCTGTAGCAACAGGTTGCGAGAGTATAAAAATAAATCAATAAAAAAATGCGCCAGAGTCATTTAATATTACATCCATAATGGTATGACAGGTCTTAATAGAAGACGGTGTCAAAATTGGAAAATGGGCGTGGCACCGCCCATATTCAGGATCTCATATCATACGACTTACTCGACCAAAGTTAGTACATAATATTATCCTAATATTTCTATGTTTCAGTGAACATTTCAAAATGAGCGATATGGATGCCTACTTGCCACTTCTCATAGAACACAATTTTAAATTCGTTCTGATTCTTTCATTTTCCAGTATGCAAATTAAGCATCAATGGGGATAAAACTTTGTAGGAATAGTGCGCTTAAAATAGGCCATCATATGAACAAAAATTGTCATTGCTTGTGCCTATAATGGTTAAAATCAGGTGAAAACTTGTTGTTCGGAGCAACTCCTCTCACGATAGAACTACCAATAATTTGTAACTTCAATCTTAATTTATAACTTATACTAAATTTATCCAAATTTATACATACACAGATATACCACCCACTGTGGTAGGAAAACATTATAAATATTTCATATTAATTGTTATCTTTTCACTTTAATTTGCATACTTGTCATAACATTACTTTTTAACTTGTTTATACATACATACGCGCGAGAACAATTGGGCTTGACCTTGCTTAAGCTTAACATTGTAAATTAGTTAATTTTTTACATTCGCTACCTGCACACGCACAGTCGTAACAATTCACGGGTAAACCACCAGCCACCAAGTATACATATGTATAATATATAATTGTTTTATTATCCCGATTTATAAAACACAAAAAACCTTGGTAGCTCAACATCTAGTAAACACGACGTGACCGCTGTGTGTGTTTATTAGTGAAAAACCTAAAATTTACATTAAATATCGGACTAATTAGTTGAAACATACACATTTACATTACATTAGATGGACATACAGTGAAATATCGAGACATTAAACACGTGGCGAAAAAGTAGTGTGATTATCTAGAACGCGCTACTGGTAAATTTGGAAATTTAAACAGTGGGATTTGTAACGTGAACTTCTAAAAATAGTTATTACGGTAAACTGAAATATTTAAGCACCGTATAGGGTGCCGATTTTTTAATCAACGGTTCATACGATTATCAACTACACATGACCGCGCTGATCATCTAATACTTAAACTATTTTCAAATGGTGGTAAATCATAACAGCGGTACTCCAGGTGGAGAAATTCCTGTAAATGAGAGCCCTATTAGTCAGCAATCCGCCATTGGCAGGGTGATTTTTTTAAAATTGAAGATACAGACAATGTTTAGATAGGAGCGATTGGAAAGCATGGATGAATGTGCTTTAGCGGCAGTAATAGATTTATTAAACCAGCTGAAATCAAAGTTATTGGCTGCACAAACAAGTTTGGAAGAGCAAGATTTTGATTCTATTGACAGTGACAGTCTATTGACTTATCCAATTTGATACAAATTTGGTTAATTTGAAGGCTACTCTACAACACCAAATTGGAAAATGTAGCCTTTCTTACCATCGCTCCACATTCAAGACGTAAAACAACGATTCTCACCCTATATTAGTAAATACTAATCGTTCACTTTTGCCACTAATAACGTTGCCTAAATTCAGCGGATCCCATATAGAGGATACATTTTTAAGTGTGCTGCCTTAGACACCATACGATCGTTGGGAATAAATGAGGCACATATCAGGGAGATTTTCGGGATGGACAAAGCAGATGCTACCGTCCGCAAGCTGCAAGCGTTAACGGCCAAGGTCACCTCGGACTGCGTAGTGTTGCAATTTTTAACTGAAAAATTGGACAGTAACTAAAGCAAAATAGGAAGAACGATATTCAATAAACGAGTTACCATCGTGGGAATCATTGGCTGTATTTTTAGAACACCGATGTCATGACCGCGATAACGTGGAGCATGTAATGCAAACACAAGTTGATACATTTAGTAAGTTAATAAAAACAGTGAGTACACATCAAAGAAAAACCTTAATTGCTTAAAATAGCTCACTTTGTGGTTGTGTATTCTAACCTTCGACAGAAAGAGGTTAAAAAACTTTCAATGGCGGATAACAAATCAATGGCTTATTGGCCACCTGAAACTGGAAAAATTCATGTATATTTGTTTGCCGTATGTATTGTACCTTTACAATAATCATGATTGGTAAAAGCTACCGCAATTTCATCAAGCTTCAACTTCACAGAGTCAGGCTAAAACATCATTTTCAGGTTAATAGAGATTTCATGAAGCCATAACGTCAGTACATAAAAAAGGAAAATATTACTTATTCTTATATTTAGGATCATATTCAATTTTCTTGTAACTTGTATGTACACACTTCGCAAGAGCTACTGCAATTTCATTAAAACATAAACTTCACAGATTCAGGCTAATACTCGTACAAACAAAAAAATTTCAGGTCATTAGAGTTTTCAAGCCGTAATGGCAGTGTATTTGTACAAAATTGGATCTACTAATATTTTGGCTGAAAGTCGTAGTTTTAACGACTTGTAACTTGTAAACTCATGATTATCAAAAGCTACTGCAATCGCATAAAAAACTCAAACACAGATTTAGGCTAAGCATCTTTTTTGGTATAATTCGTATTGCCTGCAGACTACCAATAAAAAACTGGCAATTTCGTGGAGAAAGTATACAAATTGTTGAAACAACAAAGAAAAAATTCAACACGAACACGAAAACAAATGGATATCTTGATGGACATTCCAATGATGGTTTCTGGGAACACAAACTGTGGTAATACCAGAGAACGTATATCATAGAGAAGGTTCACAGTGCGGCCATTATCAAAATATTTCATGCTTCGCAGGGGAACTGAAAAAGATGAGCGTGTTTCACCACATTTGGAAGGGGTACTGAAAACGATGAGCGTGTTTCACCAAATGTCCACAATTAACATCAGGGGATTGAAAAATAGCAGAATTGAGCATTTTCAATGTTAATTGAGAAAAATAATGCTAATTTCAATGTTAAGAAATGTACGCTTACAGATTCGTATATTTACAATGCGCAAACGACTTTGTATATAATTTGAAGATATTCTTCCTATACAGGGTGGCTAACGAATCGTGCTACAAAATTAAACCGTAATAAGTTTCTTTTTAGTCAATGCATTACATTCAATTCTGTTATTGTATAGAAAATTTTATTTTATTTAAACAATTAAATATTCCTTCATGCTCAACCACGCATATGAGACACCTAATTCGGGATTGCATCAATTATCTATTTAATGGACTGCTTCAGTTCAGTCAGATTTCTGGTTTTGATTTTGTACACCTCTTGCTTGACATAACCCCATAAGAAAAGACCAAGCGATCGCAAATATTCGTATACATTATATATGTATAATTATGTGTGCATGTAAACAAATATGAAAGTACCCATTATAATTGTTAATTTGTCTATATGCAACGTATGTATGTAAATATGTACACTCATTGTTTCATGCGAAATCTCCGTTGCCACGGACAACCAATGGCCGAAGCTCACGTTTTTTGTTTTCTTGTCAAAGAGTCACTGTGTCGAAGGACTGACGCGACGACAAAGCGTCACAACATTGTGTTGTTGGTAGAAAATCCGAGCTGTGCCGAAAAAATATTAACGAACGGCCGCCGATTGTCACCGCTTCCCTTGCCGCTTAACAGCTTTGCCAACAAATCATCGTAAATATGTATGTTTATATATGAGCATGCATACATATTGACGCAGATTTTTGTGAGACACGGAAAAATATTTTAAAATTGTAAATTTAAATTGTAAAATATTTTAAATCGACAAAAGCTTTGTTGCCAGTTTTGTCAATTTTTTCTGTGTTTTGTGGGCTTGCGTGGTTGCAACTTTTCCCTTCCAGAGGGAATATCAGAAATTTGTTCAATTTATGATTTTTAGCTTTTGCCATCGTCGCGAAAAGATGCTTGTTGGCAAACGCATGCTCGGGGAGATGAGAGGGTGTCTGTTTTTATGAATGAAGCGAGGTTGCTTATTGAAAGTACGCCTGCGTTTATGAATGAAAATGTTGTTGTGTGATTTACTATAAATTTGGGCTTCGCCTATTTGGCTGACATATTGACTTGTGACGATTGTTGTTTTTGTAGAACAATGTTTGTAGTTTTTGCGAGTGACATATTTACGAATATATGAATGTAGGTTTGTGTATCCATTATTTGTGTAGCAATGTCATAAGCACATATGTATGTATGTACATATAGAGCAGTGCGCGCAAATGTTATTACTGATAAATGATATTAACTTGATTTGAATTTGAATTGTACTTACATGAGTACATACATATGTATATATGTAAGCTTTAAATCATGAAAGGTGTGATTGGCATATATTTATATTTAAATATATTAAGATTTTTAAGATATTATGTTAGTGTGTTATATACGTACGTATATGTTCCTCGATGTCTCTAAAAAACACATTCATCTAATTGATGAGGTTAAGTAGATTCTTTTACATGCGAATGCGTAACTGACAGCTGTATTTTCGAATGTTTTGATTCGGAATAATTTTCTCAGCATTTTCTTGAATAGAACAAAAATGTGATAAAGGAAGATTTTATAAAAATTGTATTTGTGTTACAAAAAAAGCGAGTATTTACAGCTAATATTTGGATAAAGAAGAACATATAGGAAAAACAAGGAAATTATTAAATTAATTGATAAAATATTTGTTAATAATAATTATTTTATAAATAATATTACACTTAACAGAAGTTTCGAAGTTATTAACGAAGCGCCGCCAGATTGGCGTTTTCTCCTACTGTGCCACGGTTTAAAAAAATACGTTTTGTAGATTCTAAAGCTCTTGTCTAAAGGAACGCGGTAATAAAATGGAAAATGCAGACGACACTGAAAGTGGAAGCGAAACATCAAGGAAATCTTTGAAATATGGTTTTGACTTATGGGCCCTTCATAAATCATTACAAGTAGTTCATAGCAAAAGGCGGATGCAGAATAATTATAAATTTCCTCAAGACGAACTATGTTTTTATTTGAGTTGCCACGTTTTACATCTAAAAGGAAACAGTGACGAGGCATTGGAAGAAATGAAAATTTTTTTCCTAAACTTTTCAAAACTGCTGTTTTTGCAAGTTATTTCATTAGATAATCAAGTGGCATTGGTCACGATGCATAGTTAGAAAACTTAGTACGTCGGTTTTTGTAAATTGAATATTTTTATGAGTGCGAAGAACATTTCAAAAATAATTATTCACGTTTATCATCGGGCGAGTATTCGGTTCACTTACCCTTTAAGCGCAGCTTGGATTCTTTATTCATATTTAACTGTTCGACTCATATTCGAGAGTATTGAACGTAAACTTAGTTGAAATCGTAATTTAAATGCAAAACATAGCTCATTCATGTAGTAATATGTGGACCGTGGTCACATGTCGTTAGTCCCTGAAACAATGATACAAACCTACTTTCTGAAGGTCGTTTTCAGTTAGGAGAGTGGAGCTCTAACAACCCAGGTGTGTTCCACGAAATTTCTGGCGCTTATAGGGAAAGCCTTCTTAGTTTCCATGCTTCCAGCAATATTTTCAAAACTCTAGGACTGGTTTGGCATCCATCGAAGAATGTGTTTTTGTTAAAATACAAAACTCAGCAAATATCCGGAAATTTTTCAAGCATTCTGTATTGTCTACCATAGAACGTTTCTACGACCCACTAGGTCTGATTGGCCCAACAATTACCAGAGCTAAAACTCTATAGCAAAGGATGTAGAGGAACAAGCCCGATTGGGATGAAAGTTTACCACATTCTATATGCACAGCATGGAAAGTATTTTGCTACGATGCAATATAAAAGCATTATATGCTGTTGATTAAAACCCCGACTCGTCGAGCATATCATGGTTGATTTGCCTAAAGAACGTTCCCATGCATCGCGACCCTTTATGGTTACGGGCGTAGACTACTGTTGAAGTTGAGAAAGCACTTCAAAAATACTATATTAGCGTCTTCATTTGCTGCGTGACAAAGGCTGTATGGATGGAACTGGTGAAAGATCTTTCAACGGGCTATTTTCTTGATGCAAACCAAGGGGCATTTGCTCAAACAATGCTACAAATTTTGTTGGCGCCAAGAACGAGCTGAAGGAGTTACGCGATCTATTTCTTAGTGAGAATCATCGCAACCAGGTTCACGCTTACTTCCTCAATAAAAGAATATATTGGCGTTATTTAATACTTCCTCGATCCCCACATTTTGGTGGCCTGTGGGAGGCAGCAGTAAAAATGGCAAAAAAGCACTTATATCGTTCTGTTGCTTCATAATTCCGAAGAATTACGTAAAATCTTAGCAGTAATTAATTCAAGACCTCTTATGCCACTTTCAGAAAATCCAGAAGATCTTGATATACTGAAGCCCGGACTTATTCTTATCGCTATTCCAGAGCCTAACCTCACGCTTCTAAACTGCAATCATTTAGATCACTGTCAGCAGATTACCTACATACAACGATGGAAGCGATGGAGTGAAGATTATTTCACTATTCTACAACAATGAGCAAGTGGCGTATACCACACCCAAATATTGAAATGATTGACGTCATATACAGCAAAGACGAAAATTCAGCACCGCCTAAATGGCCTTTGCTCGTGTTACCGAAAACGTCATTGGGACAGACGGTGTTGCAAGAGTAGCCCTTCTGCACACGTTTACCGGCATCACGCGTCGAGATGTTAACAAACTTTGCGTTCTGCCTGTATTTAAGTATACCACCCACTGTAGTGAGTAAAAATTATAAATATTTAGCTCATAATACCACTCGTTATTCCAATTTCTCATTTCCATTATACCATACATCAGTCTATACGTAAGATATCTTAGCAAAATTAACCGAACGTTTAATATTACTTGTAGATATACTATAATTTAATGCCGAAATAATGTGAACTCAGTCTACAAATTGCCCCCACTCCCATATACTTGTAGTACATTCGGCCATATGCCGATTCAGTGTGTGAGTTATTCTCTGCCCCCATAATAGCCTATATAATGATTTCCGACTCTCCACCTGACTTTTAACTGTTTAGCGTGGTCAAAATGTGTGATATTTTAATGTAATTAAGTGGACAAGCTTTCTTAAAAAGTATAAGTTATATTAATGGTTTAACCCTCAATATAGATTGAATTGGTCTAGACCTTGGTTCAAACCTCATACTCTACTGCTTATAATAAATTCCGATACCCTGGTTAGCGTTTTTCACATTAACTCAATATATTAAATTTAGCCTCTTCGATTGACTTTATATCAGAAATATCTCATTAGAGGATGATTTTAATATAATTAATAAAATTTAGTAAAACTAGGTGCATCTATGACTTTCAAAATAAGTTAGTAATATACCAAATTTGATTGTAATCCATTCACGATTTGTGTAACAATGTTAAACTCTTTTGCAACATTTTTATACTCTCGCAACCTGTTGCTACAGAGTATAATAGTTTTGTTCATCTAACGGTTGTTTGTATCACCTAAAACTAATCGAGTTAGATATAGAGTTATATATATATAAATGATCAGGATGAAGAGACGAGTTGAAATCCGGGTGACTGTCTGTCCGTCCGTCCGTCCGTGCAAGCTCTAACTTGAGTAAAAATTGATATATCTTTATGAAGCTTGGTAGACATGTTTCTTGGTACCGGGAGACGGTCGGTATTGCATATGGGCGTAATCGGACCACTGCCACGCCCACAAAACGCCATTAATCAAAAACAAATAAATTGCCATAACTAAGCTCCGCAATAAGATACAAGACTGTTGTTTGGTACACAGGATCACATTAGGGAGGGGCATCTGCAGTTACATTTTTTTTAAGTGGGCGTGGTCCCGCCCCTAATAGGTTTAATGTGCATATCTCCTAAGCCGCTTAAGCTATAATAACAAAATTCACTGGAAGCAAATGTTTTTAGAACCTACCTACAGTGTGAAAATAGTCGAAATCGGGTAGCAACTCCGCCCACTCCTAATATAACGGTACTGTTAAAAACTACTAAAAGCGCGATATTAAATTTTATCTCTGGGATGGTATGAGATAACTTTATCGGAAGTATAGGAGTGGCACCGCCCACTTTTAGGTGAAAACCCGTATCTTGGGATCTGCTTAACCGATTTCAACCAAATTCGGTGTATAACGTTCTTTTTATATTTCTATGTCATAGTGCGAAAATGGGCGAAATCGGAATACAACCACGCCTATTTGCCATATAATACCATTTTTAATTCCATCTGATTCTTTCACTTTCCACTACTCATATCAAGCAACAATGATTATATCGGGGTAAAACTTTGCGTGAATAATACGTTTAAAGTATGCCACCTTGTGACCGAAAATTGTCTAAATCGAACCAAAACTGTTCAAGCCCCTAAGTAGTAAATATGTGGACCCCAGTGCCTATTGTTGACCTTCTACCGAAAATATCAGTCAATCCACAAAGAAATCTCAAACGAGTATACCATTTGACTTTGCGAAGTATAAAATGTTCGGTTACATCCGAACTTAGCCCTTCCTGACTTTTTTAATATAATGTTTTGCCAACACCTGATGGTATTTCTGTGCTTTGATCCCTGCAAGTTGCATTAGTATAAAATGTTGGGTTACACCCGAACTTAGCTCTTCCTTACTTGTTCAGTATTTGGTTAAATGTGAATTGAAAGCGTGTTTTTTAGTTTTTTTGGTACTGTAAGTATGTACATTTTTTCAATAAATAATGTCTTAAATATACTGAACTTCTAACCAAAAACACAATTAAGGAAAACTGATGGGAGTTCGCCATTTATAAATTTAAGTTACATAACACCATATCTTACCATAAATTAAGCTATTGAAGCGCTATTTAAATCTTATTTACTTACTCTGTGACATTTCATAAATATTCTGTCAATAACATCGCTGAGACTAGAAACTAGAACTTATCTTTCATTTTGCAATGAGTTACTATTACTCCTGTTTGTTAACTCGTCGAGGTCTAAGAATTTTCTGCTACAGAACTCAATTTGAAATAAAGCAATAGTCCTTTCCTAACTAAGTTGAAATTTTTAATTATTATTTTGTTAGTTTTAAATTTGGTTGACATCTAGAAATAATTTATTTTCTAAAAATTATAACTCTAACGCCTAAACATGAAACTACATAGCTCGTGTAATCGTATGATAACTGTGAAATATTAGTAAAATACACATGTTATTATGCGATGGGAACCATATCCCTGCCAGCCATTGCTAACAACTTTCCCCTTACGTCTCAACACAATAACCCAATTTTCTTTCATTTACAACACCAATGCACCCATATGAGGTATTTTATATTAACGATATGGTAAGAAAAAATTGGTCAGAATTATTTAAAAATACGTTTATGTATTTAGAATTTCCCGAAAAGAATAAAACTTGTTATGCCATTTCTTGATCTTATTGAATGAGTGCGAATGGGAAAACAAGATTGTCATTGATGTCAAAAGGACCAAAAAAGGAAAATAAAAAAACGAGTGAGCAAGTTATTTACGTTCGTAAAATTGTAAGTTAACAAAATTTAGTGTAATTTCAAATGTGTATTTAATTTTTTTGCTAGCAATGTTAAAGCCTGAGGCTGGATGTCTGTCAATAACAGCAACACGCTGTATAGTGTACAGTGGATAGATTCAGTTAATATATTTCAAATAACTAAAATAAGTTAGATTTTTTACAAAAATTAATTTCCTTTCCAGGCATACAAATATGGACCAATTCCATTCATATTTAGCGCTAAGACTTTAATATAATTTTGAAACTTTTAAGAAATGTGTCTTGTCGTGGTGCACGGGCTTAAGTCGCAAAGCATTATCGGTACCTTGCAACCGGTGTGAGCAGTGCTGCTTGGCACTGCTCATGCGGGTTATTAGAAGCATGCGTGCGGCAACCAATAACTTCCCCCTCCTAATCCAGGGGGTTATGCGACTCCCGTGCACATTGGATGATTTGGAGCTGGGAGGTTAAATCGGCTGTATTTTAACGAAGCTTTTCCAACACCGGGCCCCATTGGGAAGTAACGGTGGCCTTACCGTGTCATGGGGCTCTGGCGCGGCAGACTTTTGCGTTCCCCTTTACTAGCGTTGACCCGACATCTCAGCGCGTTGAGCTAAGGATCGTAAGACAAAGATGGATTGCACAAACAAAACCACCAAAATGACAACTACGCCTAGACAACAGCTACGGCAAACGACAAAGCACAATGCCAACAACGAGAGCATTAGTTCAGTTAATGGGAAAGTTTAGATTCATGGATGCCCTATCGCCGGAGGAGCATGCCAGAGATGATGACGTCGACATGCCCTCTTGCAACGGCGCTCAGCAGGCAACATCTACTGCGGTTGTTGCGGATGTTGCTGTTGAAGCGAACAAAACTAAAACTCCCCCAGCAGGCTCAGCTGCTCGGATTCGGCTTAGTCGCAACGGGCTTGTACCGAGGGTGCTCGCAAAAAGAGAGGAGGCAGACTTCCCCATCCGCCCCCAGTTGGTTGACTCGGTGGACACGGCGACCCATGAAGGAAGGGTATAAGCAGAGCCAGCATAAAATGGTACCTGAGACACTTTCAGGAGGAAAAACCTGGGCATCTTACTAATCCAGGAACCATGGGTCCATAAAGCGGAGGTCAGGAGCTTCAAAACGGATGCGAACAAGGTAATCTGGGATCTCTCTAGTCAAAGACTTAGAACTTGTATAGTAGTTAGAAACAATATTGATTGATAAAAATGAGACATAACTATTAATTTATTTATAACAAAGAGATTAGGTCTCCAAAACAGCAAAGTTTTAGGAACTTCTGTGAAAACGTCTCCTCAACACCGGAGGCAGAAAGGCTGCACAGGGCTCTGACCAGAGGCAAGACTGACACACTATTAGCTATTAAAATATGTGACGGGACTTATACGACCAGTGAGAAGAAAAATCACTGGATAGTCGCAAAACAGCTGTTTCCTTTGGACTCGATCAAGGTGGCTATGGATTCGTTCGCGAAATTACAGGTCCTACTGCCCCACCTTGTTCGGCTGATAAATGATAGCTTACGTTCACCAGACGAAGGTTCCTTCTCCGCCGCAAGAACTTGGAAGCAGAGAGTTGGAGATGACTAATGTGGTCAAATATCTAGGCCTCACTCTGGATTCCACTCTTCGGTGGAAACAGAATGTGGACCCTCATAGTCAAAGCTACAAAAGCACTCATGATGTGCAATCGACTTGCCGGGAAATCCTGGGGCTGAAAGCTAAGCATTATGAGATGTACACTATGATCGTGAGACTTCAACTATCGAAGCTGCAACGACTGGCCTGCATCTGTGCGTCGGGTGCAATGCGTACGTGCCCGACAGCAGCACAGGAAATTATGTTGGAACTCACACCGCTTCACATTGTAATCGATAAAGCCGCCAAATATACAACGCTTCAAATGACAACAGATGGGTTTGGCAGGGCGAAGGTAATCTCGTCCCAAATGATATAAAATGTATAAGAAACTCGACCTTGAGTCTAAATCTAAGAAAGTGAAGTTTTTTAAAAATGCACTGGTTATATAATATTGTTGAAACTGTAGTAACATGGAAATTTTACAGGATATAGCAAATGCTTTGATTATATAAATTTGTTAAAACTGTAATAGCCTGATAACTTTACTTTGGCCTAAATCAGTCAAATTGATGTTTTTCATTAAATACGGGACTTGCTCGAGATCGCAGTATGAGTTCGACTTTGAGTCGAAAACAAAGAAAGTGCAATTTTTCGAAATGCACTGGTTATAGGAATTTGTTCATACTGTAATAACATAAAATTTGGTGGGGTGGTGGTTTGACTCCTATTACGCCATTCACTGAGAGGGAGTCTGTGAAGGGGTTGATGGCTCCACTGTGAATGGCGGTCAGTGCCTGTCTGAAGTTCGTTGCGTCCGAAGTCCGGTCGGCGTACTGTCTAATGGTTTCTACGAAAACACCCCAGTAGAAACGGCTTGGAGAGGAGTTCGTTGTGTTCCTTAACCGGAAGCATACGGGCCTCACTATATAGGTGTTCGATTGGAGACATCAAGAGGCATCCCATGATAGTTCGGAGTGCAGTGTTCTGACAGGTCTGCAGCTTCTTCTTCTGCGTGTCACTGCATCCAGGCGACCATATTAGGGCTGCGTAATTTAGGACCGGCCGGCCGATTGACTTGGATGTTGGCAACAACGTTTCTTTGTCTTTTCCCCAAGAGCTGCCGGCAAGCGACTTGAGGATTTTGTTGCGGCTCTGTGCAGTTATCGCGGTCGTGTGAGGAGTGAAAGAGCACAGACTGTCCAAAGTAACGCCTAAAATTTTAGGATTATTTACTGTCGGAATTTTTGTGCCATCGACTGAAATATTCAGGTCCAGTCGGTACTCCTTCGTCCAATTTGTTAAGATGGTCGCTGTGGATTTAGTGGGAGAGAGTGTTAGGCTCCTTGCAGAGAAGAAGCGAGAAAGATCGGAGAGGTAGCTGTTTACTTTTGGACACATGCCATCGATTCCATTTCCCGACGTCAATATCGTACAATCATCTCCCATTGACTACTTTGTAGAAAAAGCACAGGTCAGCGACCTGTCGACGAGAAGACAGTTTGTTTATACAGTAGCACTGGTAGACCTCATCAGTAGAGCAGATGTGACTTGGTGAAGATAGTTTATAGGCCAGTGACTTACAGAATTTACGCTGGACCTTTTCAACTTTATCGATTGTCGTGTTAGTGTAGGAAGACCAGATTACCGAACCATATTCCAAAATTGGTAGTACAAGTGACTTGAATAGTCTAATGAGTGTCCAAGGTAATATCTTTACAGTAAATACTATACGTTGAATCAATGACTTCACCATCACATATGGATGAGTGAAGCCAGGATTCCGAAATACATACAACGTCGTACTGGTTAGCCGCTAATGCGGTTTGAAATGTTGAGAGTTTTGTACGCAGACCTCTGACGTTCTGGTAGCACAGGTGGACGTAAGATACTTTTTTCTTGCTTGTTGAATGGTCGAAAATTTCTTTTAACGATTCTTGGGACACCATGGATATATTCAATTTTGTTACTGTCATCACCACTCTTCACGATTGAATCAAGCTCTTGACGCAAATTTTTCAGATGAAGTTGTTGAGAGGGAGTTAGATCAGTCTTGAAAATGAAACCTGAGTTTTCGTCTGCTGGTCTGTATTTGATAATGGAAAGTGCATCGGCTGTGGGTGGTAATGTGAAGAGGACGTGTACGTCCAGGTGTAGGACGACCCAGTCTACGTAACTTGAGTTCAGTGGCTTCATCCTTGAGACTGGGAGGCAAAGCTGTGACTAACTTTGTTCTGTCATCCTCTAAACGGTCCTTTCCAGCAGCTTTATCAGACTCAGAATTATTTAGGGCAATCACGTTGGTTTCACGGTGTTTTCGTTCCGACAGTTCAGTGAAAAACTCTTCCTGGCTGGTAGGCAGCCTCATATCTACGTTTAGCTTGTCTTCAACTGATGTAAGTCTGTCATCCAGGGCAGAACATTGATTTGATAGCGAGACGTTTTGTTTTGACAGTATGCTTATCTCTTTTCTTAAGTCCTTGATTTAACTTACAACTGATTTTTTTAGGTCCCTGAACTCACGTTCATAATTTGTTGTAAAACGTTCAAAGTGTCTCTTGAGTAAGGTTTCAATATTCTTTGACGGTGGCGGATCATCTGATGCCTCCTCATCGGAATCCAATACATCACATGCCTTAACACTAATATCACTTGCACATGAGTCACAATTCCAAACTGTTTCTTTTTTCTTAAGGCTGTTGGCGATGGATTTAAACTCATCGGATGAAAGGTTGGTGCACTTTGAGTGAACCCAACGTCGACAAGCCGCACATTGAATACTTGGCTGCCTTTTATCCCGGATTATGTCTGAGCAATAACCACAAATCTGTTGTGTTGTATTTACTTTTTTGGGTGGCATTTTGTAAGTACACGATACAGGAAAAAAGATATGTTCCAAATAATTCCGGAGTAATTTTTTATTTTCGTGTATTATCAATGCATTCATTCATTTTATGATGTCTAATTCACAGTCAATGTTAATATTTGTTATGCTTTTTATTATTACACCTCACAATATTACGTCGCACACACCTTTCTTTGTTGTACGAAATTCAATTATGGTTCAATATCAAAATTTAATCGAACTTTTCTTTGTACATCCTTTATATTTTCTTATAAGAATTATTATTTTCTTTTAAGGAAACTTATATGAGGCATTAATTTAATATTCTTTCACTTTTATATATACGATTGATGTAATATTTTCAGATATTACGGAGCACTTTTCACTATGCACACTGCACATGTTTACAGCTACTTCGATTATATGAAGGTGCTATGATTATATGAAATTGTTAAAAATGTAATAACATGAAAATTTAATGTTAGCACAAATCAGTAAAACTTACGTTTGTCAGAATAGGCGGTAGCTTGTTTAAGTAATTATTATATAATTTACAAAAAATCGAATTTAAGTCTAAATCTAAGAAAGTGCAAGTTTTAAGAAATGCACTGGTTATATGAATTTGTTAAAACTGTAATAATATAGACATGGTACAAGATATATCAAATGCTCTGGTTGTATGAATTTGTTAATACTGTAATAACATTAAATTATACTTAAACGCAAATCAGTAAAGTTGATGTTTCTCAATAAAAGCATTACTTTGCTGGAGTAGTTGACATAGAAATTGTAAGAAATTCGTCTTTAAGTCTAAATATAAATCAATTGAAGGCCTTAAGTGATGAAATACCACTGGCTAATCTTCCAAGGGACAGCATTACCAATATGGTAAACTCCAGTAGGAAGTTTAAAGTTACCGTTGGCAATATCGCAATAAGTGTCGTCGTACTCAGCGATAGTCAAGCGGCACTGAATGCGTTCTCTACTTATGAGATTAAATCGCTCCTGGTGGAGGAGTGTATAGAACAGCTGAACAGCCTTTGTGTGTGCCCGGCCATAGGGATTGTCCGCATTTAGAACACCCCGTCTTGCTTCTGAACTCCTGTCAAAAGGTAGATAATTTTCAATAAATTGGTCCATAATTAAACTTATAGTGGACAAACTTCAAACGAACGCCATCGAAAGTTATTTTTAGTTTCTTTTGACTAATATAATTTTTTGAGCTCATCATTGGAGGGACTAACTGCTGTTTCTTGAACTATTTCTTCGACGTCTTCCACAATTACCTAATCTAAATCGGTTTGTTTTGCTAATTTCACTATTTCATCCATATCGATAGAATGTCCAATGTCTTCGCTCTTACTTAAATCTGGCCGAATGTTGGGGGGAAAACTTTAGTATACCGTCCAAGTCTTTCGGGGATAAAATAGGTATGAGCGGATAGAGGAGATTCTCAGATCAAGAATATATTTACGTTTAAAGTTGAAAATTTCAACTATTTAAAGTGCGCATTTTTTCGATTTTAAATGAATTCACTTATAATTTTCCCTTTTATATCCACTAACACTTCACTAATTCGTTTGTACACATTTATTTTACATTATATAGTGCAAAAATAGTTTAATTCAATATTTAAATTATTGTTAAATTCTATTAGTTCTGACAATTATAAAGGGGTTGCAAAATGTCAAATAACCACTGTTACCTTATCGACATCTTTTGTAATTGAACTGAAAGAAATGAAAACAGATAATACCCTAAATACAGGAATCCAAAACCTAGATAAATAAACTATTAGAGAGCATTGAGGTTAAGTATTATGTTATACCCTCTATGACAATATTACTTTTTCTTGTAGAACTTCTGTTTTGCGTTGGCAGTCTTCGGCCGCGCTTCAAAAAAACAACCCTGGTCGATCCAACACCGGGGTGTATCAAGGTTTTTTCGCGCAGAAATTCTTTTTGCGTTGGTTCCTCTATCTAGGGTATAATCTTTCTGTTTATTTTATTTTTCTTCGTTTGAAAAATATATTAGTATGGCAACACTGGTGTTTTGACTTTTACAACCCTTTTGTTATTGTCAAAATTAATAATATTGAAGAATGATTTAAATATTGAAATAAAGCTATTTTTGCAGCATATAATATAAAAAAATGTCTAAAAACGAATGAGTGAAGTGCTAGTGGATATAAAAGTAAACAATATAAGTGTATTATTAATTTTAAATCGCAAAAATACGTACTTTAAATGGTTGAAATTTTCAACTTTAAACGTAAATATCTCGAAAACTATAAGTTTCCCGCGGCTATATCTATATATATTCTAGATATGGAGAATCTCCCCTATCCGTCCATGCCCATTTTATCCCCGAAAGCCTGGGACGGTATACTAAAGCCGACCCGAATGTTGGTCCATAATCCTTCAAAGACCTTTCTGTTATTTTATTCCAAGCAACAATAAGCGGGGTCTTACTGTATATTCAATATTGTGCGTTCAGTTAATTTTGCTAAGATATCTTACATATTGATTGATACTCGTATATTAGGTTTATGGGAGATCGGGGTAGTATTGACCAATTTTTTTTTATTTTTGCCATTACTACATACTATAACAGAAAGAGATGCTCTTTGAGTGTTAGTAGAAGTTAACCGGATGTTATAAAGGTGGTGGTTCGGATTCCACGAGATTTTATTCATTTCAGACACAAAGATGCGCCGTTATTAGAAAACCATAATTACCTAATTTAATTAGAATAACTCACATATTGACCGATGTATATGGTATAAAGTCTGCCGGAAGTTCGAAAATCATACTACTATCAGAAATGCATTCTCTCTGAATTTCAAATATTTATCTCACACATTAACCCGTATTTTCGGTAAAAAGTCATCCATGCGCTCTAGGATGCGCATTTCCGGTATCTGGGAGCTTGAATAATTCGATTTTAACAATTTTCAGACTTAATTGGGGCTTAATTTTTGCACTGAAAAATTAAAGAATGAAATTAGAAATTGTGTTATATGAGAAGTAGGCATGATTTTAGATAGCTGCTCACAC